TGTTAAGAGCAGGGCGTGACGGACGGTTACTAAGGGTGCGAGAGGAAGGTCTCTCTGCACGAGAAGTGTCATAAGTCCTTTGCCACCGAAACGAGCCGCTACGGAAGTACGAGGACAGCGAACGGAGGGCTCCAGTTGGTTGACGTCTCCGATGTAAATGTGACGTGCGTTGGTGAATCGAGCCGCCAAGGCCACCAAGGCAGGTTCAGGTATTTGGGACGCCTCGTCTCCGATAATAACGTCAGCTTCTAAGAATACAAGGTTAAAGAGACCGCCCGCGCGAGTAGTATTCAATAGTGACAATGTTGTCATGCACACTATGTCGGGGAATCGCATCCGAAGCATGATTTTCACGGCTTCCTCCGTATCCTCGGAGTTGTGGTTTTCCGCGACCCGGTACTGCTTACGTTCTTCTTCCGACGGGTAGAGAGTAGCTTCAAGGCAATAGCAAACGTTCAAACAGGGTACGGCAACGAACGCAGTCCGCGAGAAGAGGGCGCTCCGATCGTGTAAGCGCGTCAGAAAAAATGGCGATTAGGCCCTGGAGTATCTGATGAAGGTTTAAAAGCGTCTCGGTGAATTGTGCAACGGCTACGTTGGTTGTCGATGTCATGAGGATCAACTTGCCCTGCTCTGCGAGGCGAGCGGCGATGAGTGCCCCCACTACTGTTGTTCCAGTGCCGAAGACCGCTTGATTAGCCTAAACTGCGTGGTTGCCGAGGCCCATTGCACTGCGCATGACTGATCGTCGCGACGACGATGATGAATCGAACCCAAGGTCATGTTGGTCGGAGGAGCTTCGTCTAGGACAGGCGCATCTTTCGGGCGCAAACGACTGGGATATACTTGGTCGAGAACGGTGTTTGCTGTCGAAGGGACGTCGGAATTCCTGATGTTGCTGGAAAACGTGCCGTCGTCTAGCAAGTTGAAAATGCCGGTCGGCGCCCAAGCCAGGCGAACGCACAGTGGTACAAAGCTCAGTGGCGTTTAAACACCTTGTTCCATGACGTCAGTAGCTCGAAGAAGTGAATTACTGTGGTGAGGTTCGGAGTGCAGCTCAGTAGCGAGGGTCCGACATTCAGGGCGGGCGAATCGTTCGATCGTGTCCATCCTCCTTGAGCCGACATCGTATCAATATTTATCATTAACCGAAGTTGAAGCCATACTTAGGGAGTAATGATGTCTGCCGGCCTCGGTCGAGCCTTTTTAGAAGGACAAGGGCAGAATCGTTATCTGATTCGAATGACGCCGGTGTTGCTCGGACAGTTTGCGAGAGTGGCTGACGAGAGGTGGAAGGTGCGTCTGGGTGAGACCGAACATGAGGTGAAGCGGATACATCTTGTGTCGTTGACGTGGAAGGGCAGGTGGAGGTGGCGAGAGACAGCTGTTGCAGTTCCAAGTGAGGACTCAAGTTATCGTGTCCTGTGACATATGATTTCTGAAGTGCCCGTGTCGTATGCGTGGCCGAGTTGTTGTCGGTGTCCGGAAGTTGAGCCTTAGCCCGTGGATGTAGAGATGCCGAATGACCACAAGAAGCATCAGTGGGAGGTTGGTCCGGTCTGGTTGTTGTCTGCTGTAGCGGCTGGGATGCGCAACCTAAAAGTGAAATTCAAGGTGACGGAAATCGACAAAGCTCGAATCGATATTAGCGCACCCTCGGTGCTGAAAATACACGTGTCATGAAGTTGGGCATTAGCTCCCCGGTGCCGGAACTTTGCCTACGGATGAATCAGAAGAGAGACTGGACATTGAAGACACTAGGTCAGCAGCGGACGTAGATGTAATAGACTCGTCCACGACCCGATAGTTCTTCGAGCTGAAACACGGCATATAACCTGAGGCTATGGTACCGGGTTGCGAACACCTGACGTCAATGGAAGGAGAGACGAGGAAGCAAATTTGAGAACGTCTATCGAGAGAAGAAGATGAATAGGAAAAAAGAGACCAACTAAATGAATAAATAGTATAGCTTGCTCGTCCATGGAAGACGTCAGATGGGGCAATGTTGCGTCGTGGAGCGAGTATTATACCGGTGTGTTGGAATAGCGACTGTAGCTGATGACTAATCGGTGGTAGAAGGCAGAGTGGCTGCATGTGTATCTCATATCACTATCTGTCGAGAAGCACTGCGCTAATGATCGTTAACGCTTTTTGATCTTCTTCCGGGAGCCAAGGGGGGGAGAACACCGGTCCCGTCAGGAGAAGCACGATGTTTACTTGGTTAAGGTGTACGGGTCTCGTAGAAGACTGAGGCGCCGATATGCTCACTATAGTGAGATGGGGATGCGTAAGCACCCGTCCTTCTTTTTGACCAGTACAGTGTTGTGTAGCCAGGGGGTATCGCTTTCAACGACCCGTCTTGAAGTAAGGAGCTTAATGATGTGATCATCGAGCTCCTTTTGTAATTTTGCTGGAGTGCGGATTGGTCGGTACCTAGAAGGGATCCGAGGACTGAACAACAAAGATATCGCCGGTGCTACCACAATTTCGCCTAGGGACAGCACTGATCCTTGGGTGAGGATAGTGGTATATTTAGGGCTTTTCTCGGCCAGATGATGTGGTACTGGCACTTGGAAGCAGGAGGGATCACCCCGGTTTCAGCCGCCCGCACCGGCACGGTGATCTATGTTGGAGGATCGGATAGTGAAGAAGACGTTGTAGTCGTGACAACCGGCGATGTTTCGCTGCGCACCAGGAACAAGCGACGGGGATAATTCAAGGTCCAAGGTGCCATCCGTTCAGGAAGTCGTTTCAGAGTATGATCAGTCTCAAACTCAGTCGCCTCCTTCTGAACGATGACCGTACGAGGATAAAGGAAAACGAGCATGTGGGAACCGGTGGAGAGCTGAAGAACTACTATAGGACAGGTATAGCACGTGTCGTTGAATGCCCGAAGTTGGAGGGCTGTGATGGTGAAGCAACACGTCGGACTCGAACGAATCCACCCACCAAATAGGATGCGGTGATATCACGCCGACCTGGTAAGGAGCGAGGTAATCAGAAAATCTTTCCCCCTCAATCGTCCATTACCATGTTTATGAACGATTTCCGCGAATTGCGTTCAAACCCTAGAAAAGACAAAATCCAGGCGCATGAATTATTCATATATGGTTCTCCCCTTCATATTTCCGAGGTCTAAAGATGTACTGTGTTCGATACCTGTGCCATTGTGAGTACCCCCGGCGTTATGGTAGCAAAGCATATCCTGGTGTTTACTCCTTTCCAGTTACCGTAAAAATAGTGGTAATAACGAGTTGCGTGCGAAAGCTCGAGTAGCCATGCGTCGGCTTCGACAGTTGCATTCAAGCAGACAAGCCGAGTGGGGGACTCCAATGATTCCAAACGAGGTGTGGATGGAATCATTGCCACCAACAACGACGAACGCACATCGAGGTGCGCCTACCGATCTCAAACCGCACTGCCACCTGATTGCCTCCATGCTAGTAAAACCCCTTTATGGCCGACGACTGCAATCTTCATCTTAAGGGGGCTGCTCATGCCGTCGAGGTGCATGTATCGTTCCGTACTTGAATCAGGCAGACGAAACAGCATCCCAGCAGATGTTGACATCACCTCCCAGTAGAAGGGACCTCGTGGGCGATGTCCTCGAAGATGTCGAAAGTCTGGGGGTCCGAATTGGTAGACTTCGTGTCAAACAACTGGGCCATGGCCCTGTTGGAGGGGGCAGCCTAAGAGCGGGTGGCCGGTATCTAAGGGACGGATGAGGCACCGAGACGTCTAAGCAATGATCCACCTTGAGGACGAGTGGGGTCCATACATCCGAGAGCTCTGCGCAAGAGGGGGGGGGGCTTCGCTATGCAGAGTGATCTGACTTCCCAAGAGCGCTAGGGGCATGTATGGGAACCCGACGGACGTGCGCTTCTGTAAGACAGCAAGGCTAGGTCTCGCTCAAGGGTTATGAGAGCAAGAATTATTGGCCTTCCGAAGGAATTTGGACGATGCACCGCGATGAGGAGATAGAGCTCTACCGTCTTAGCGCCTGGGAAAGGTAGCGAATAAGATGGCAGGGCTGATAAGGAAAAAGGAGAAAGAGGAGAGGAATCACAGCGTCCAAACTTTGGGGTGAACCCTGACAAAATGGTATACCACGGTGCCAAGAAGAATGAAAAAGGGTAAGCAGATACGTTCGCAAACAAGAAAAAAAATCACCCAAGCGAAACACCTCCCAATCTGAAGTACACAGATATCTCCTGTTCGATATAGTGAAGGTGAAGCGAGCAAAAGAAAGAAAATTCTGTCTATTGCACCCAGAGACAGAAAAAAGGAAATAAAAAGAGGAACAGAAAAAAACTAAAAATTCTAGGATCCCTGATCGAAGAGCGTACATGTGGCTGAACTACGTGTAGCCTACTAGAGTACTTGATTGTTGTTGCCCCTACTACTTGTTATACTAGCGCCGAACACAATACTTTTGATACTTGATTGGTGCCGCCCCTGTTACTTATTTTACTAGAACTGAGCTCAATACTTACATCGTCTCTACCGGGGGAAAACCATACTCATGTAATGCAACGTAATGCTTGGAACTACAAGGTGTCCAACACCTCTTGTGCGCGCACGAACTTCTTATTCAAAATAACCTCAACCCGGGGAATTTTCCAACTTGTGCCATAATCATTTAACTTGTAAGCAACCTTCTGTTCTGGTGATCACCTTAGACTGAACCTTATACAACTCAAAACTGGCATGCGGCGGTCATATTGATAGGAGCAACTGGACACATTGATCACGGTAACAAGAATGGCGGGTTGGCCCAACCCGCAACAAAGGAAGAAAAATAGAACGAGCAGAAGAAAAAAATATAAGACATCGCCGACTGGTTCAGCTCGAGCTGAGAGGCTCCTTCCGGCCGCCAATAATTAGAAAGGATAAAATACCCCATCGTGGAGTGTAAATGAGAAGATTGTCACAGAAAGCCCTAGTATAGGGCAAAAAATACTGTAATTATTGAAAAAATGAAAGCTATGAAGGAAGATTAGGGTAAAAAGAAAGACTGTCAGTAACAGAATGCTGGCCCTGATCAATATGAAAGGTTGACGTGCCGGAGAAGAGGCTACAATCCCATCAATGCTGCGAGGAGCCCTTACGGAATTGCTGTCTTATTTTCGTACTAGCGTGTATAAAGGCAACCCTTCAGGGCTTACTGCGATAGAGCTAAGAAAAGGAAAAAAAGAAGAGAAGATCGAGGAAATGAAAGCAGCTATTTTGTAGAGAAGAGAAAATCAAATGCAGAAAAGAGAGAAAGTTTTGACTCACCGTTCCTCCGTCTGCCGGATGGAGGGCTCGCTGCTACCAGATAGATATCGGTCGGAGAAATTCAATTAAAATAGAAAGTTTTTGAATGTTACTTCAATCAAGTGATTTATTTGGTGCTCAAGCTTGAAAAGATCAGCTTGTAAAAAATGCGCACAATAAAAAGAAAAACAGGCGTCAACTGAATAAAAGTGTAGTGATCATATAATCGAAATCAATGAAAATATGCCGCACCATCGGCGCCGCGTGCATCAAAAAAAGACCAGTGGGGGCAAGACTCCCCGAAAAAATTGTCGGCGCAAAAGTTCTAGGAATCAAAGTTTCGACGGCGCTCAACCGTTGAACAACTCAAATGTAAACTTCAAAGTGTGTTCCATCTGCGCTTCTCCAGGTCCGGAGTTCGATAAGTCGATGCACCACAAAGTGGATATATATATATGATAGATACGTCGATAAGTCGATGCACCACAAAGTGGATATATATATATGATAGATACGTGTATATATTGTATACATATTTATATCGCAGGGATCGATAATATCCGCTGCCACGCGAGATAAATGTCACCAAGAGAACACCGTCTAAAACATCTTTGTTAGCGTATCTCAAACTTGGGTAATTAGACCGATAAAATCGGTTATCAAAATCAATAATCAACAACGAAATGTAAAAGAAGAACAATAACTAGTTGTGCTTTATTAGTGATTTTGCGGCTACAAATTTCCATTTCAGGGCGGAGGTGATGTAGTGGCAAGTGGTGCACTATATCACACGCACGGTCAGGGGTTCGAATCCTGGATCGATGGTAACCTAGGCCAATCAAGCCTTCCATCCCTCCGGGGTCGTTCAATTGGTACCAATTCCATCCCTCCGGGGTCGTTCAATTGGTACCAAACTCTTCCATCCCTCCGGGGTCGTTCAATTGGTACCAAACTCGTCTGAGAGGATGAAAGCACTGACTTGGACATCGGCTGGCCACCGCAAGTCATTGTATAGGCCACACACGCACTCATTACACCACTACGATTCTGAATGGAAGTCGAGTGCGGGGCGCATCCCTCAAACGGGATTGATTAACGCCAAAAAACTTTATCCTTTAAACTCTAAAATACCCATTTCTGAGTCCAAAGTTCATAAAGTGGTCACAAGTCCAATATTTCTCATACGATGAGGTCGATCATAAAGAAAACAACTGTGATCGTAGTTGAACGACCGCGATACTTTCCATGCTTTTGTTCAGTGATGCTCATGAATGATTTTTCTTTTTTTTATTTTTTCCTTACACATGAGCTTTGTTGTGTAAAAATGAATTCTTTCTATATGTATATATATATGTATGTGTACAAAGCGCTAACATCGTGTGTGTGTGTTTGCATGCCGTTTCTTGGGTCAGGCCGCAGAAGACCGCACGGGCGCTATGAAGAGGGTCAAATGTCGCGTGGGCGCGGTGGTGAAGGTGTTGTGAAATTGGTATGGAATAGGAGCTCCACTGGCACAATTCATACTGTTTCCATGGTCAATACAGATCATTTTTTGATGCCACTGACTGAGAATAGTAGAATTGCCCTTTTTTGCAGGATAGACCTTTTTCTTTACAGAGCGATCGCTTCTATAAAAAGAATAGGAGGTAGAGTGAGAGCTATACACTCAGCATCACTTGGCACCGAATCATCAAACATCCTCCTGTCTCCAACATTTCGCTTGCTTTAACCCTGGCATAGTTGCTGTTATTAGAATCTTCTTGTGACGTGCGAGGTTTATTCTTTTATTCTCTTGAATATCAAGAGAAATTCCGAATGTTATGAAGGAAAACTTGTCTGTTTTCTACTCCTCTGCCACGCGAGATATGCTGTGATTTCGCTCATGGGTAAGTAGGTAGGCTGTACCTTTAGCTGGTACCTTGCTGGCAGACATTCGAGTTATGGCTGAGGTAGTTCACTTTTATCCTCGAATTGCTCCCCGGTGCTTTTTCTTTGAATGGTGATGCCGTAGCACTTTCCTGCTCTCCTTGGAAGCACCACGAAGTGTGGTGCTGTTTGTGACATTTGAAACATGGGCGTTTCTTGCATTCTGGAAGTGTGGTGCTGTTTGTGACATTTGAAACATGGGCGTTTCTCGCATTCTGCTGTGATATGTCGTGGTGATGCACTTATCAAGCAAACTTGTGTTTTCGTAGGTACTGTGAACGTTCTCGTGGTGTTGCGTACTAGTTACAGTCAAAAGACTTGTGACTTCCCTCGCTGTACATGCAGGATTGCCGTGAGCCGAATTTTGGCGATTTCGGTTTGTCGCCGTTCCCAGCTGCATGAGAAAAGGTTTCGTTCTTCAAGTGATGAGACACCATTTCCTCACTTGTAATGATGTCTTCAGGAATTTGCAGAAGGTGATCCATAATGAAGGCGGCGTCTTCCAAAGTGGCCTGCCTCTTCAAGAGAACTTGTCGCTGAATGTGGCTGGGGAACCTGGTAGTCGCCTGATTAGCCATTGGCTGTTCACATTTTCGTCCTTCTGTTTGACTTGTGCAATTGTAACTTGCACTTGTTCAAACAGTCGTCGCTAATTATGTATGTGTGTTGTTCGAAGAGAACAGTTATCCAATTGGTCCATAAGATCAATTACAAGCTCTTCGGAACAGCCATACTTCTTTTCTTGTGACTTGGAACTTCTTCACCGACTCCAGAGCTTCGCCTTTCAACGCGTCCAAGAGGTAGTTAAACTTGTGGAATTCCGAAAGCTCCTGTGAGTGAACGTTGGCGTTGAACAACTCCCAGAAGTTATCCCATTCCCATATGTTCTCGTTGGAGATTGGAACAGGAAGTGTGGGGAGTTCTAGTGATTTTGGTGCAGGATTCGAAGGTAGTGGCTCATTTTTGACGCGTTCCATGTCAGCCCTTGTAAGAATGTTCTGTGAGGCTTGGGTACGACGATCGAAGGCCCGTATAAGCGCTTGAAGTTGTAGCGTGTAGTCGAAGGCCATGTTCATAGCATCTTCTGCCCGTGATGAGTACCTTTCAAAGTCCTCGACATCCTTCGGGCTAGGTTCGGCCAGGCTGTCCATTGCTTCGGCATAGTCCTTCAGCTTCTCCTCGATTTTCGATGTTGTTGTTTCGATGGCTCCAACACCTTCTTCGAGTCGCTGAAGTTTGCCTCTCGCGGCGATGTATGACAGTTCCCCTCTTCATCAGGGAGCGAGACCGTTTCTAACCCTTCAGCCTTGAAGCGGGTTATGAGTGTTTCCAATTTCCCGGAATAATATGTAAGACGTCGTTTAAGAGTCGTTAACTTGTACGCCTAACTCTTGTGGGTACCCGGTACTTTAGGCCGTGATGTTGCCCACTTGTCAAAGAGAATATCGGGTGGTGCTCCTGGTTTGGAAGAAACGAATATTGATTCACCCCACCTGTATACGACAGTAAGGGAGACTTGTGAAAGTGAAAGAAAGGCGAAATTTATTTAAAATGAAGTTTGTACCGACCTGAATTCTTCGTTTTGCCGATGCACCATGAAAAAGAACTTGTCTTTCTTCCACTCCTTTGCCACGCGGTACTTTCATGTGTTTTAGTACACTACGACTACTAGTACACTACGTTAATTTAGTTACTTGTATCAGGCAGGCGACTGTTCTCGGAGCTTCCCTCGAACACTCACTGACCACCCAAATAGCGCGCCTTATATAACTCCCCAGAGATCAAAAATATGGCGCGAACAGATCAGTCGCCCGTATTGGTTAGATCACCAGTTAACATAACAGAGGTTAGATAGAACTTCATACCAAAACAACAAGGAATAAACATAAACATCAACATTATGTTACATCAACAATATATAATATTATCAATGGTCGATTCTTCGGCATGTTAATAATATGATAGGTACGCATTGGGAAGAAGCCTTTACTATAAAGTTCTTCACTTTACATATAATTGTGATTCACTCATGTATAATTTTCAGGCGTGACATCCAAGCTGAATTTTAAGCGATGCAGTACCAGTATACAGAGCATGAAAAAAGTTCTATGCCCTTTTTTAGTGCTGGCGTAGATAGGCGGTGGTGAGGTGGTGCACGTACTAGCGTGCGTACCTCAATGGCACTTATACATTTCATTGTTGCCTTCAGATCAATAGTAGCAGATCTCTTCTTATGATCTTAGCCGTCGTCATTCGATGGAAGATTGGGAAGAAGCCTGTTTTCATCCAACTATTAATTCTTGTTGATCTTTGCTTTGACTTTCACACTTTGTTATACCAGTGGAAACTTGGCAGTTTACTGATGTGGGTTGCGTAGTGGTCCTAGATATGAAAGTTCTCGTTCTCATGAATTCAAATCTGTTTTCTGATTTATGAGAGTCATGTCGAGAAGAAATGGTCAATTACAACAATTGCTGAACTGCCTGAGCTAAACTTTGCCCCTTCTTTTGGTTTGGCATACCACGGCCTTCAATCAGCGAATTCAGTTTTGAACTAGTTGGTTATTGAGTGGGTGCCCCGCACGGTGTCTCGCTTAGGTGAACCTACTTCTGATCGTCCTCGCCTCATGAAAGCTGTTCTACCTGCTTTTAGATTTCAATTGTAATTGTTCGAGGTGCTCCTGATCTACGCTCTTATATAACTAAGGGTGTCCGCTTGCGCCCGTCTAGGGAGGCAATAGTGTGGCTACGTGAATCACTTCTATCTCATGACTCATATGAGCATGTGAATTTGATGAATTTGGATCAGCATCACACTTTTGCATCCTCCGGTGATGTCCAAAACGTTGCTTTTTGTTCCTTCTGTTAATGTCGTTT